TGACTCTATGCTGGCAAATGCATGAGGAGATTAAGCACTTGAGGTCATTCAGACATGACTTCAGCTCCATGATCGCCCTTTGTAGAGTGATGAGCTACAGAATGATGAACTCCCTGTGCAGTAGATCAGTTGACAATCAGCATCGGGTTGTTTGGGGAGCTGCAGATCTCCATACACGTCTGGATACGCAGTTTTTATTGAATGTAGATGGGATAAAAACAGAATCTAACAGGCACAATGACAAAAAGGGCCAGTAGGCCAACAGTGAGCTGAGGAAGAAGCAGAGGAAGACTCCATCTTCCTAAGATCCACCTGAGACTGGAAAAAGCCCCCTGCAGTGGAAACACACACCAGCACATAATACAATGGAGTTTCTACTGCTCAGTCTGTCTTTAGTAGCAGGCATCCTGAGCCATATCATGGCAGGCAGTCTGCTGGCCACTCTGCCGACTTCCCACTTGATTTCATGTCATTCACTTCTCTACTGGCTAATACACTTCAGAATGGTTCACTTCGGAATGGCACGCTTCAGTGTGGTTCACTTCAGAAAGGTACATTTCAAAGTCTTACATTTCAGAATGGTACACTTCAGAGTGGTTCACTTCAGAATTTATGGTATTATTAAAATAGGATGCTTTAGTGCATAATTTCCATGCTGCTACTGCACAGACATAACAAAAATGCACAAAATGCGATGCAAATAGAACAAGCCATCTCGTAAATGGTATATTAATTTTAGATTAAAATATTTGCATAGTATAAAGTTTAGAATAAAGTCATGTCCTAAATCTGAGTCTATTGATCTCAAGGGAAATTTTTAAATTGCACATTTATTGTTGGATTGCGCTGTTTAATCAGGAAGGGCTTTCACATGAAAATAAAATTGAATGGTGTATTTTGTTCATTAGGTATGATTTCAAAATTTACAAATTACACTTTGTCCTCACAGCACTAATCGTAAACAGTGCAATTAGGAACAGAAAGACAGGGAACTTCAGGTAACACAATCTACCTAGTTAGGAGGATAATGCAGATGTACTACCTGCAACATGCATCCTGACATACAGTAAATGCCCAATAACCTTCACTTTCGTAGGAACAGCTGTGCAAGCTTGACTAACTGTGGCAGGTGTTTGTCCACACGAGGGAGCCTCGAGAGTAGGGAGTTTAAAGGTGCTTCACAACAGAATTATTTATTTTATTATTATTTAATGTGTAAAACCCTATATTTACTGAAAATAAATATAAAAAAATGATTTTTTTGTGTGTAATATTACATAAAATCTATATGTTTTTTTTTCACTGATGATGATGTCATCTCATTAGGACATAACCACCTTACTTCCCAGCTTAAGCTGGGTGTCATTGTTTAATATCACTGAGCTAATTAGAAGAAGAAAAAAACTCAGCAACTGTCATGATGAGTTAGAGAAATACAAAACTGTTTTGCACCATGCTTATTAAGGACTGTAAGAAGATGCTGGTCAGGACGCTCCTGGCTTGCAGAAGCGTTTTTAATGATGCTGTGTTAGGCCTGAATCATGGTACAGGGTGTCTGTGGTTTTTGCCGCAAGAAGACCCATTGCTCTGAGCATCCAGGCAGCCTCCTGCAGCAGATTGTAGGCCCGGAAGCCAACTTTGTTCTCCGGAGTTTCCGCAGAATCTCTCACTGGCTGTCCCTTCATTACAGCCCGACGATCACCTTCCACTTACCTTCCTGCTATTACATTAGTCTGCCTGAGAGGTTTAATGGCTGCGCACTTGCACAAACCGCACCTCCACAAAACATAACGTAGCAGTAATGTAGATGCCAAAGTTCACTGCTTCATATATCAATAATGTAATAATTCACCATAAACACCAAAGTCTTATCCTTACTTTTCTGAATAATAAGCCGTCACAATTTAGAAATAGAATTTAAGTCTCAGCTTGATAGGGAGGACTGTGGTTCTTATCATCCTGGAGAGGATATCTGGTGTTGTAAAGATAAGAAGAACCTTCTGTTTTACAGCTGAACGCAAATCCACGGAGGGGGCTGGTGAGTCACTGTAAGCTGATGTATTCTGCGCCAGGGGGTATTCTTCAGCAGTCTGACAAGGGGAGCACCCCTCCCTGTCAAAACTACTAAATGCAATTTAGAGACTGGTCAAGACAAACCAGCCACGAGGCACTCGCGCGTACGTGTGCATTTTTATGACAAAATAACAAGCTTATTACCTGAGAAATGCAAGATATGCAAGATAAAGCATTTATATTTTGTAAATTGTGCATATTTACCACAACACACATGCTGTAATCAGGACAAACTGATTCCATCAAACCTGAGAATGCTGATGCCTCCGGAAAGGGCATGTAGCCTTCTGCGTATGGCAGCCATATCGTGACACACACGCGTGAGATTGTTGGGGGGGACATGGGTGCCATTTTAAATGTCATGTTCATGCTGTCACTCAGATATAGCTGCTTCACACACTAAATGATGGCTTAACACAATGCGCGTGTATTTTGGGGCAGTATGTGTGCTTTCTGTGGGTTAGGACTCTGTACCCATAATCCCCTGCTTGACAGAATGACGTCACCATTGGGTCCTTGCTTTCTGAACTGCATGTGGTTTTGGATAAAAGTGTCTGCTAAATAAATATATTAGTTTGATAAAAGTGGGAAGATTTGCCTTAGAAGGAAATAAATGATACGATAGGGGCAGCAGACTTTTTGATTATACAAGCAGGCATGTTACATGTAATTCAGTACATGTTTCAGTACATGTCTGAGGCTGGTATGACACCCACAGGACCTGCATGAAGATACGTTTTAAACACATTTCTTCATAACTTGGCAAACCAATATATTAATCGATCTGTGCTAAAGACCACAACCAACTAAAATCTAAATTCTATAACCTTAAATTCTGTAAATGTAAAACTTACTGTAAAACCTGAACACGTAACCCTGGCCTTAAAAATACAAAGTCGCCAAAATGACCAAAAATTTCTCAATATGCGATGCGGGTAACTGAATGATGAGGGTAAGACGGCGACGTTGGGCGAGAGCAGGACTGGCACGAAGGCCAGTGAGATGCAGAGCGGATCTTCAGGAAGGACCATAATGAGCCGTTCTGTGTCAAACGCCCAGTGTAAACTGGGATGCTGAGACAGGCAGCCATCCTGAGAGATCAACAGACAAATAAACAGTGCCGGCATGTTGGGATGCGCTTAAAGGTCACCGTGGCTGCCTGCACTTCTGTGTGTGTTTATAGGGTAGGCTGCCTCCAACAGTGCCTGGGACAATGAGGGAGATTACAACAATCAAGCTCAGTTTGAGGCTGCAGATGACTCACACGACAAGCTGTTCTCGTTTATTAGAGGAGAAGCCTACCTCCAGCTCCCAGCCATGTGAATGACTGATCTCACATCAAGACTGATTACCTGCAGGATCTCTCATGGTGTCTGCTAGATGAAAAATTAAACCTAAAACTTGACTGCAGTGCTCACATAAAAGGTGGTCTTCTGGCCCATATGTTTTGTGCTTGTGACAAAGCAAATTTTCTCCTTCAACCAGACTGTCTATCAATGTATGAGATCATTCCCCAAAAGACATTTTAGGCACTTTAAGACCTGTCAGTGCTGAGACTATGCCGAGTTTTCCTTCTAGCATGAGCATGTCTGAAGCCTATGTCACTCTCTGACAGGAACATCATTTTGGTCTATGCAGTTGTTCCCTTCTGGAGTGACCGAGCCAGTTTGCAGCCAACTACAGTGTACCTCTTCCTGTCAGTTGCTTTACCAAGTCAAAAAGGATGTGCTTCAGTGATTTGTCAAGCTATTGCTTACAATATTTATAGATTTGGAGCCTACCTTACCTTTGGAAACATATTTTCCAGTGGATCTGTATGTTACTTATATAGCACATCTACACTGTAAAACACAGAAGTCTAGTAAATTATGCTAAGAGTTTTAGGAACATTATAATTTATACATGCATTTCAGCTCTGTTCATTTGATCTGATCAGTCATCACTAGAATATATTTAATAGCAAAGACAAGATTAATGCAAACTCACAGAGCATTAGTAACTGGTGCTTTTCACCGAATACCACCTTTGACAGCCAAACAAAGCATTTCTGACAGTATATTATCTCACCAAGAGCAAAATCCTGGCATTTTCAAAGTATTTCTCCCATCATATTATCTTCTCAACAGATCTATTGATTAAAATTTGATCGCCCCCTAAGACAGGCCTGTAAAAATATTCTCCTTGTGGGTAAATAGATGGCCCGATTAATGTGCCACTGAAACAATGGATGATGGCATTGAAGTCTGTCAGCCGATCACTGCAGAGTGTACAGTGTAGGACAGCAAGCAACAGGCTAAACAGGCAAATCAAACTAACAAGAGACAGCATGAAAAGAACAAAAGCAAAGCATCTGGGTGTTGAATGTAAAAGTTAAGTTTTGATGGTTCAGCTGTAAAAAATTATGTTGGAATTTAAAGAAAATACCAAAAAAGGAAACAAAGCAGAAAGGGACGAACAAACGACCCAAATTCTTTTTTTAATATTTTTTGTAGGCCTACAACACAACTTGTTTCAGGAGTGGTACAGATTTCCTGCCAGTAATTGATAAACCCCCTAGTAATCTTAACATTATTTTATGACTTCGGTTTAATAGTGAAGCTGTACACATCTTATGGGAGCAATACATTATTATTATTAGTAGTAGTATTAATATTATCATTTACTGTATTATATTATCCTGATAGTATACGTACCAGACACTTCCCACCCGGCGCGCCGTTGCTGCGCTTGACCCGGAAGTACAGCGACTCCCAGCACAGCTGGCACCGCCTCTGAACGCAAACGTGGGCTGTCCGCGCGAGCCGTCTGCGTGAGTTGCCTGCGCTCTGTTTGCGCCCGTCGTCTGCGCTGGCTGCCTGCGCTCTGTCCGCGCGGGCCGTCTGCGCGGGCTGCCTGCGCCCTCTCCGCGCGGGCCGTCTGCGCGGGCTGCCGCCTTCTGCGTGCCGCGCTCCGCCTCCAGTCACATTAATGTTTTCATCTCGCGGGCATGGAGGCGCCGGCTAGTTAGCTGACATGGAGCTGTCCACGATTATAAAGAAGACTGGTAAGTAACTAGCGATAAGTTACTTCACTCCGTCCTGCAGTTTGCATTTTTTTTTGCCCCCCCCGTATAGATTTTAAAGTCTTCTAGTGAAACGTGATCTGAAAGTTTGATTTGTTAGTTTGTTTAGATCAAACCTCCCTAGCATCACGGTTGAAACTTTACGTCAGGTGCCTTTCTCCTACCTCCTGCTCATAATCATTGTCTTCATCCTCCTTCTCCGTCATAGGTGATGTTACTGGACGTGCGAATACCATTTGAACATATTAAGTTCAATAAAGTTAAATTATACTGTCAAGTTATGTTTTTTTGTGACATGCTTCGTGTTGTGTGTATGTTTGTATTGACTATCTTGTGTTAGTCATATCAGTGTGTAATAACAGTTTTTTGTAAATGTATTTACTTTGATTCCTCAAATTTATTTATCTGGATGAATGACTGGTTGGGCTCTCTCACCCAACCCCTGGGAGAAAAGCCTAGCGTTGCCTGTGCTCATCATCATCATCTTCGTCGTCCTCCTCCTATTCCTCCTCTTCCCGCAGGCCACCAGCTGGCTGAAGTGCGGGAGCGAGCGCTCAGGAACCTCCTGTCTAAGCTGGAGCATGGCCTCCTCTGCGTCCCCGACCTGGCCCAGGAGAAGCTGCTGCTCCTCAACCTACTCGAGTGGTTCAACCTCCCGGAGGTGCCGGCACCAGAGGAGGCGCTGCGGCTGCTGGCCATGCTGGCTGAGGTGAGGCACAAACGCAAAAGAGACGTATCATAAAGACAGATGCTGTGTAATCCATATATGAGATGGATAAGTACTGTATAATCCATATATCACAAACAGTGGTACTGTATAATTGATGTATGGGATGGATAAGCACGGCATAATCCATGTGTTTGATAGATAATAATCCATATATCTCCATAATCCATATATCACGTGGAAGGGTACTAAGTAATTCATGTATTGTACAGGATAGTTACAGGTTAATCCACATGTCACATGGATACATACTTTATAATCCATATATCACACGGATAGGTGTTGTGTAATCTATAACATTTTTAGTGAATAATGGTATGAGGCAGAGTGCCTCATCTGGGTGTGAATTTTTTTCAGCAGCAGTGAATTAACCCCATTTTTAAAAACAGGAAACACAGTATTATTATAATTACATGCATGAATTGATTTGAAATATATTGTGTTACAAGGTCTGAAATTGTTTCCTTTAACTGTTTAACTCCACGGCCCTTGTCCTGTCCAGCACCCCGGCGCAGCACAGATGCTTCAAGACGCCGGCGCAGTGGAATTCCTCAGCCAGCTCTCCCCGAAGCTGGAGGCACCGCTGCGGTCCGTCATCGACGGCATCCTCGAGCGATTCTTCCGACTGCCAGATGCGCCTCTAGATTCCCCTGCAGAACATCAGCAATCAGCTTCTGATACCAGAGGTGCTACTTCAGGCTTTGTTTTGTTTTGCTATTATCACTCACAGATGAATGGCTTGTGGTTGTAATTAATGAACCCAGGATTTGATGAATACGTTGCTGGTTTCTTTCATGTATGATTCTTCTGTTGTACCACTGAGAAAGGTAGTTTTTTTTAAAGCATCCATCTGTAGACATGGGTACAGTGTCACCCTCCATGACATGCGGTCAGATCTCTTTCACTTTGTGCACTAGCTTCTGTTAAACAATTCCGTAAAACAGTATTTCACAATACGGTTCTCGGGGATCCACAGCCGGTCCACGTTTTTTGCTCCCTGCCAGACAGTCTACATTTTTGCTCCCTCCCAGCGTCCTGCCAGACAGTCCATGTCTTTGCTCCCTCCAGATTTTGCAAAAAATCTGAGGACAGGCTTGGGAAACACTGCCGAAAAAGATGAATGATTCAGAATCTGGTTGTGGAGGACAGCTTGGGGCAGGGTGCCAGGCCTCACACAGCAATGGGAAAAATGGCGCCTTCACCATGTGCCCGTATCTGTGTATGTAATTAGCCTGTATTAGTCTGCCATCGTGTGTAGCATGCGCCCTCCCATTCCTGCCATAGGGGCAGTCACTGTGCCCTTTGCTAGGTCACAGTTCAAGAGGCTACAGTGGCAGATTAAATCACCGCAGGTGTCTGTGGAATGGGGCGTGATGCAGGAATGATGAGTATTTGTGTCACCCACTGATAGCCGCTGCCTTCCCATGCTCTGTCCAAGATGAGGTGCCAGTCACGGGGTACTTCCAGAGTAGCCTGGGCAAACTGAAATGGGCAGAGGCTCCCCTGCAAAGTGCACCTGGTAGGTCACGTGCTCACTCATGTCGGGCCATGTGACTGCTGTCACCCCTCCATTTATCAAAAATACCTTCAGAAGGATCCGTTTCGGCAGTGCCCTGAGGTAACTGTAGATGTAAAGAGGTAGTTAACTGTATTCCCAATCTTCAATATGTATATGAATTAATTATTTTAAAATGGGAATTAAAAGTAATGAGGTGTGTTAACTGTGACTCTTCTTTCCTCTTGGCCAACATGTTTAGTGAGAAGTTCAGTAAAATGCCTGAAGTTTTGCACTTTTCCTTGGCTGACGTTGACTACGACCGACCGCCACATTTTAGCATCGAATGAGAGGTGCGGGAAGTCTGGCCGTCACAGCGAATCCCCAGAGCGCCTCAGTGTGCCTCTCCATTCCAGTCTTTCACTTTCCTGATTAACCTGTCTATAAGCCGTTTCACACAGATGGATACTGCTGTTTGATCAGTAATCAGTAGTGCAGTGGTCTCACATTCCCTGGGTTCTGGATTCGATTCCTGCCCTAACTTTGTGCATGTGTGTATGTAGAGTTTGTAGGTTCTTCCTGTGCTTGTTTAGGCTACCTCCACAATGAATGGCTTGGGCGAATCAGTAACCAAACAGCCCATAGCATGTGCCCTTTTGGATTGTGGGGTGGGCTCATCTGTTCTGGGGATAACTCACTCAGCTCTCCTGATTTTTCTACTCTACACATGAGAATCAGTTGTTCTTCCTCACCTTTCTTCCTAACTCATTCCTCCTTAACATCTGCTGTCCCCAAATAAAACACCAAGTCTTAGTCACCTTAACGTCCTTATTCTCTGTGTAAATGAGCTCTTATTTTCAGTCATGCTTGCCTTGTGAGTGCATGTATTGAATATTTTTGTGTTGGTTTTCCTCTTGTAGCTCTCTGCAAAGTAGCAACCACAGCTTGGTCCGGACCACTTGTGATCTTCTGCAGAATGTCATCATGCAGGACTTCCCTGCTGAAATATTTCTACAGCGACCGACTATCGTGCAGGTAAGATTAATGGATTTAATGAGAGTAATCTGTTACAAATGCCTAATTTCTGCACTTAAGATTATGGGATCAAAGCCTTTGTGTCTGGTCGATAAAACCAATTAGATAGATCGGATCAAATGGATTTAGATGCATGGTAGCATTATCCCAGAGAGCAATGGGTTTGAGCTTCAGGTTGATTCACTGCCTTATTGTCTGAGATAATTGCATTACTTCCAGTGCTGTTTATGTCTGAGATACTCCCATTGAGCCTCATTCACCAGCTGTTCTTAAGAATAAATTTCTTCTTAAAACCTACTTACGCAGTTTCACAAATATTCTAGCATTCATCAATATTTTCTTATTTGGGATTTGTTCTTGGGTAAGAACAGTATCTATGTACACTCAGGAACACAATTGTGCACAGCAAGTTTGTGCAAAATAATTGCTTATTGCATTTTATTCAATTCTACAGTTAATTGTTGAATCATTAAGATTATAATAATGTATAGTTTTTAAATTATTTTGGGAATTTTAAAATTATTATTAAATTATTCAAACGAGGAATAGCATCCCATGAATTTTTTGTGTTATTTTAAATCCAGTACTGATGCTACTAAATATTATATTAAATATTACAGTTCGTTTGCTGCTCATTTCCTGTGGTAGAACCTACTCCACAGAACTACTGAAGTTTTTCTTACGTTCTGAGTCCGGTGCTCCACTGTCTTTAGATTTTCGTTTGGGCATTCTTGACTTCATTCTCAAATTTTCTTCTTAATTTCTGTGTGGGCAGTCTCATGCCCTTTTATGGGGATTGGCCTTTACCCACATTCATCATTATAAGAACACATTTGTAAACAGTTCTGTGCTTTATGAACGCGTCATGAATCTGACGCAGACTTTTCTTAAATCCTTAGGACCTTTTTTAAGAAAAAATGTAAGAACAATTATAAGATGACATTGGTGAATGAAGTCCAATATTCCCTGCACTGTTCCAGTAGGAGATACTCGCATTACTCCCAGCACTGTTTCTGCCTGAGATACATTACTTCCAGCAATATCTCTGTCTGATACTCAGATTACTCTCAGTACTATTTCTGTCTGAGATACTAACATTACTCCAAGCAGTATCTCTGTCTGACATACTCACATTACTCTGAGCACTATTTCTGTCACTCCTGTGACTGACTGTGTGGTTTGCCGTGGTTTTTGCGTTCTCTGAACTGCTGCCTGCCCTCCGCCCCCAGAACCTCCTGTCCCTTCTTACCCTGAGCAGCGGGGGCCACACCAGTGACCTGGTGATGCGTGCCGTTGCGTGCCTGCAGCAGCTCTGCATCAACCTGCGCAGCAGGCTCCGCTTTCACAGGGACCCGAGTTTCCACTCGGTTAAACAAGGTATCGTCTGGACCGCGCCGGGTTGGGGCCGGGATCCGAACCAAAACCTCACTAGGTGCATGAGCGTGAAATGTAGCCCCCGTTTCTACATTTAACTATGCGATGCTGGCAGGTGCTAAAAATGACCCAACAAGTGTCAGCAGGTGAATTTGCCATCGTGTGGTATGTTCATCTCTGCCCCACCAGACACGCTGTCCCAGAACTCCTCGCTGTCCCACCCTCAAGAAGCGCACGGCGCTCACCTGTCCCCGGCATCCCCCCCGGGCGAGTCCAGCCCCAGGCCCTCAGTGCTGGGCCGCACTGGCCAGAGGGCCAGAGGAGATGGCCAGGATGGGGATGTCGCCAGTTCCAGGTGCCGGGCGCCCTTTTCTAACCAGGACAGCAGTTATGCCACATTGCCCATTTTCAACGTTACAACATGTGTGTTTGGCATATATCTGTAGATATTAGTCAGTCATTCATTCTCGATCTGTTGTCTTATTCCTGTACTCAGAGGTGTAGCTGACATGTATAGCATTTCTGTTTATAGACCAGAAAGCTCAAAGTCACTGTGACGATTCATTCACCCCCCCCCCCCCCCCACAGTGCTGACAGAACACCCTTCTGTCTCTCCCTCCTCCCCCACTCAGCAGTGGCAGTTCCCGCCTCCGGGCTCCCTCCGAACCCCCCTTGCGATCCCCGGTGGACCCGGCCCATCTGGAGTCGCTGGAGACGGAGGCCGAGGACACGGCAGACCTGCAGCTGCGGCAGCTGAGCCTGGCCCAGCTGGGCGCCGCTGTGGTGCAGCGTGCCGCACCGCTGCTGGAGACAGGTGAGGGGCCGTGTTGGGTCAGGGCCGTGGCGCAGCTGAGGATGGGCAAGGTGGTGGGTCGGGTCGGCGCCGTGGCCCTGCCGAACACGGGCGAGGGCTGCGCCACTACCTCCGCCAGCACAGATGGACATGCATAATGTCCCGGCGACTGGCGTGTTTTTAATTTCTTTCATGAAGTACGTGACTCTGTCACCCCCCCAGAGAGCATGAAGGTCTTCCTGCGCATCCTGGAGCTGCTGTCGGAGACGCTGCCGCTGCTGGCAAGCAGCGTGTCGGATGCCGTGTGGGAGGACAGCGGCTTAATTGGCCTGGACTTGGCAAGTGCCCATGTCTCCCTCCGCCTCTCCGCCGCTCCTTTATTTATTTTTTCCTCGTGCACCGTGACTGTGCGCCGGCAGCTTCCACAGGGCGATCCCTCCACCGTGGGTCTTATTAGCATTGCCGGCACAGCCCCCTCACACGTCAGCTTTTGGCAGCTTAGCCTGGAGCGGTGCGGCCGACACGCTAACCGGCGTCCCCCGAAATGCAGACCACCTCCTGGAGCAAGCCCCCCCCCCCCCCCCCCAACATTTGCATCTGAGGTCGATGTGATCTGGGCAGGATCCGTCTTTATGATCTTATGCCGCTCGGTCATTTATTATTCTGCAGAGGAACAGGGTGGGGGAGAGAGAAAAATTCACAGCAGTTTTTCTGTGCCATGAGTTATGTACTTGACAAACCGTGTTACCCCTTTGTTTATAATACCCTCACAGTAATGGGTCCAAGGAACCGGCTTGACACCATCTGGGTGGTAATTGTAGGGCCTTTGCTGCCCCCTGCTGTATGTTATGGGCTGTTGTCCATGGTCCGGAATTGAATTTGTCCTTCATGACACCACCTTTCTCACTGTCCTCTAGAAAGATAAGCTGCTGACGTCCCTCGGCTATTTGGGGGCCGTTTTGCAGCGCCACGGCATCTGTTCGTCTGATGCGTCTGAGATGTCGCTCATCCACCACCGGATGGCGTACGTGGGCACCGCCGTGTTCACCATCCGGCTGCTTCAGACCCTCCTTCCCGTGGAGAAGGTGTGTAGGATCCGGCGGCGTGGGAGACGTTGGGCTCGGCACGATGCCAGATCACGAACCGCCAGGTTCTTTTAACCATTGCGTTTTTTCTGTTTGACGCAGGCCGGGGACAATCTCCCAGAGAGCACCAAGGAGGAGCTCTTTCTCCTCTGCATGGACGTGCCCTTCCGGTTGGCCTACCCAGGCGTCCACGAGTCCGCCGTGGCCTACCTGGAGCAAGCAAGCCCCGACAAACACTGCTTATACCAGCGGGCGGCGCAGTCGGCGTGCTTCATGGAGTCCACCTGCGCATTTGTCAGGGAGGCCCACACTCAGGTGCGTGAGGCTCGTCAACTGGATGGGCAGGGGATGTCTGGTGGGTGTGGCTTGTCAGGGAGGCCCATTCTCTCATGGGTTGTGTTTATCAGGGGGGCTCATTCTCTTGTGAGCGGGGCATGTCAAGGTCTTGGGGCATGCTCCCACATGGCCTGGTTGCCTTGTACCGAGCCTGAGTATGATTGTCCCCCCTCCTCACTCCCCCGCTGGTCTGTGCTCACATTGTGTTTGATGATCCTGGCCCAAGCATACTTTTATCATCACTATGCGACTATTTGTGCTGGAAAAAAACATAGGAAGAAAACTGCTATCGCACAGTACAATAAAGTTTATGTTTAATATCCTTATTTTGTGGTTTATTTGTTTTGGGTGTGATACCCAGCCCTCATATAGATTTTTTTTGAGTATGAAGTGAAGCGATTTTTATTTAATCATGCTCAGGGTGGCAACGATATAAGATTTTTATGGTATGATAACCGTCTTATGAAATATCATGGTGTTACAGTATCGTTAAAAGAAAGAAATCTCCTTTTAGATAATCATCAAAAAAAAACATATTGCTATGCTAAATATACATTATTAATCTAATATAACATGTCAATCCATATGAGATTTTTATTGTATGATAACCGTCTCAGGAAATATCAAGGTTTCATGATATGGTATATGGTATACAGAAAAAAGTGGCAGGATCTTTTCCCCGACCAGCAAGGCACCACTGAGGTACCCTGAGCAACGTACCACCCCCAAGCTCCCCGGATGCTGAATTAGCTGCCCCCTGCTATGTCATGATGTCACATATGAGTTAAATGCAGAGAACACATTTTGTTGTTGTGTGCTGTGATGTGTCAACAATGACCACTGATCACCAAATTCTAATACCAAATTCTAATAATTAAAATAATGTTAAAGCACATAGTTGACTAAGATCCTGTCCTACAATCACACTGGATGTGTACCGTGCCAACTGAACCTGAAGCGGGCCTGGCACGGTTAAGCATACCGTACGGAGCGATCACACTAGTGCAAGCGTACTTGGGCACAGCATGGATTGCCTAGTGTAAGTACACCCTTAGCCCCTAGGGGCAGGAGCACTTAAACATGAGTACAGCTGAAAATATTAACTTATTTGCACACACTTTTAGTGGCAGAAGAAAGTTGAGGGCCCTGAATGGAGGGTTGTGGCAGTGGAAGCCATATCGTTCCCCCCCCAGTTAGCTGACAATTTATACCTTGCACCTGTCTGTAGTTTACATTTGTTTATAGTTTTTTTGTTTTGTTTTTGTTTTTTATATATATTTTTAGTACTTGGTAAATAAAAGGATTCTGACTGTGAGATATAGTGCATGCATCTGGAATTGCACCTTAGTAGCTGAGACGTGTTTCGGGAATGGTTGATCATGGCATATTTCCCGTCCATTGATGCAGGTCATGTGTTCATTATTGGCAGGGAGAGGGGAATTTCTCAGAGCTGTTGGAGTTAGCAGAGCAGGCCATTCATGGACTTCCATACCATAAGCATCTGCCTGTCATCCAGAAGTGTGTCCAGATCTGCTGCAATGTGTGAGATGCCTTTTACGCGCCTGATGCAAATCCTAATAACTGTGTGATGAGGTTCATTTATTTGCAGAAGGGTGGGAGAAATGAAATGCCCCCGTTTCCCCCTCTCTGTCCTTTCCTACAGATGGAAATCGGCACAGCCGAATCCCGGACTCCAGAAGGAAAGTCTGAATGTTTTCCTGAAGCTGCTCTCTCACCCGCTGGTGTTTGTGAGGACAGAGACATACACCTGTACCCTAAACATCGTGAAGGTGCGGTCCAGTTCAGGGTCACAAACGGGATCAGACATCTGTCACTTGACTCAGTGGGGGTCCTACACACTACATGCTAACTGACTGCCACTTACATAATAAACTAAATAAGTAATTTTTTTCTTTGTTTTCATTTTTAGGATTGTCTTGGAGTCCAGAATGTGGCCCGGCCTGGGTTTCCGTCCTGCCTTGGGGTTAACTTCCTGCTTAATACCCGCGTCCTGTATGAAATCTCAGCTTTTGGCCTTCAGGACCAAGCTGAGCTGGTACGACAGTTTAAAAATACCTGCCATGTTAGTCGTCAACGCCCCAGCAGGGCTGCTGGTGTGATGCATACCGCAGCGTGAAATCGTGGGTGTGCACTAAGCTACTGCTCACTGCCGTCTAAGGCCTATAGATAGCCGAGTGGGTCTGGGGGGGGGGGGGTCAACCTCACAGGCTGGGGAACTCTGACAAATCCGGGATCCCATCTTTGCCACCTGATCTGTAGGTGAATTCCGCTGCCAAGGAGATCCTCCTATTCCTGCTGAAGGGGCAATTACTGATGACAGCTCCAGCCTGGAACAGATTCTTAGAGGAGCTTCACCCCATCCTGCCCATATTGCAGGTACGCCCCTGTTCTCTATAAACCACCGCTGAGCGGATATTGTAAAAAGCGGGAGAATTATGAGCATCCCCAGGAAGACAGTCTAATGTCCCCGGATCCTGGAGATTAAACTAGTTTGCTGGGTTTTCTTTTGAATGTTTAATGAGTTTCTGTTCTTGAAAAGAAAGAACTCGCAAAATGCCAAGATATTAAATTCTTGCCACTCTATTATATATATATATATATATATATTTGTGTCTGGATATACCGAGACTCTTAGATGCATATATTATATGCTTTTAGTTTTAAAATATCTGCACTGCACTTTTTAAAATATTTTAATTAGTTTCAGAATGTTGACATTGGGACCGAGCAGTTTAAAAGCAATAGTGAACTGCAGAGCAGGTGCCAATGCCGTTTCAACACAGTAGCTAAGTGGCAGCCGAGCAGACTCTGGCTTTACTTTGCTCTGGACGCTGCACCACGCTGACCCCCAGGGTGATGGGATCGCTGAGGTCTCGCTGTCCCTCAGGGTCACGCCGATGCTCCGGACCCTCTGGGCAGCTGCGTGCTGCTGATCTGTGAGCCATCGGGCGGGATGGTGTCCGACGCGGCCAGAGCGAGGGCCGCCATGAGGCTGCTTTTTGCCAGGCGGAGCGCGTGAGTGTGGCTGACGCCGAAACCTTCTGTTTCCCGTTGTCGGCAGTGTGGCGTCAGCGTTGGGCCCTCAACTAAGACCCTTCACCTCATCGACTGTCTAACTGAATAAAATATCTGCTTTATAAAAAAAATTTAAATTTAATGTCTTGTTTCCAGATTGTTTCACTTAAGTAAATATAAAGATACTGTTTGGTCCTGTTTCTGCCCATCTGCTGGAACAACATGGTGCTCTCTGTTTCCCTGCTTCCTGTGTGACCGTAGAGTCCGGGCTGCTGCGGTCAGTCACCTGACGCCTCATCTGATTGGTGGCTCTCCCCGGGCTGCTGTGACCCATGACGATCTGTCCGCGCTGCCGTCCCTGTACATCCTCCACAAGCATGTCGATGTCAAACTCAACGAGTCAGACAGGTCGTTCCTGAAGGTGAGAGTCTGGATCAGCCCCTCTGCGTCCCTTGTCCTCATTCTGCGCTTTAGCTACATGTTAAGGGAGAGGGTCTCGCTGGAGTTTTCCCTGCTGGAATGTAGCGTTCCTGACACACTTCATCCAACCTATGCAGGAGGAGTCTGTCAGTAAGCTGTACGGTGTCCTGACATCGGAAACTGTGGACCTGGCGCTCAGGAAGGCGGCTGCAGACCAGCTGGGGGTTGCGCTGCAGGGTCAGGCTCCGCCTCCATCCAGATCTTTACTTGGGAAATACGCCAGACTGAAAAGTCGTGCCCACACGTCTGCAGAATTCCTGATAAAAAGGACCAGAAATACAGCACATATTCACACAAATCTGCAGTGTTAATTAGGAGCATGAAAGCCCACCTTATTTCCGGCTGTGGGAAGATAACCTGATGCCTGCAGAGAAGTTCATTTGGTAATGGAGATTCGGCTCTGCTGTCATTGTCACTACCTGTCCCCAGAAAGTGGTATCAGCTTCTATCTGCAAACCCACGGGCAGGCCAACCTCCAACAAGGCAGTGTTTAAGCCACATGGTCGGACTGAAATCTTTGTATGGGAAAGTGGTGTTGTGCAGAAGAAGGTTCCGGTAAACGCTGAAGGCTTTTACTTGATGGCCATTGTTTGTATGTCTCTGTCACAGACACAGCATTGCACTCGACTCTGAAGGAGCTGGGCGTGACGGACAGGATGATATCCTTCTTGGAAGATGGCGTGGCCAGGAACGTCAAGGTGAGGGCCGTCCAATGAGAACTAGTAGTTGCGTTTCCAAGGTGCATAAGCAGTAGTTAAAAGTTAATGGGGTCTTCTCCCTCCACCCCACTGAGCTCTCCTTCCTCCCCCTGTTGAGCTCTCCCTCCCTCTCTCCCTCGCTGAGCTCTCCTTCCCTCCCCCCCCTCACTGAGCTCTCCCACCCTCTTCCCCCTTGCTGAGCTCTCCTTCTCTCTCTCCCACCTGCTGAGCTCTCCCTCTCCCCCTACAGAGCATGGACTGCCTGTTGGAGCCCTGTTTCCGGATCCTGAGGAAGCTGGTGTTTGCCGATGCCAGTCTGCGACACTCCCTGGCCCAGCGAACCCCGCTCCTCATCACACTGCTCAAAGGTATGAAGCGAGTCTGGGGGAGACTGTATATCTGTTCGCCTGCGTGACAAATGTTTCAATATCTCACATGGTGCCGTCTGTCACCACACTAGGGAAGGATGGATAGACTCTGTCCCCCCCAGTAACCACTTATCCCACCTCATATTGCCCCCCCCTTCCCTGGGGGGCCCATGTTCCAACCAAAGGCTCTGCTTCTCGGACATATTACCTCCCAAATGACATATTCCAAATTGAATCAGCCCCCCCCATGTGCCGCCTTATGGGATCTGGAGTGTTTTGGCCCAAGCTTCAGTGGCGTGTGACCTTTCTGGGCTCTTCTATTGCCCTGCCACCCTTGATGCCCTGTCTGTCCCCCATCAGCTTCGTTAACGGTGAAGCAGCTCAAGGGCGACGTCAGGGAGGCGGCTGTGCTCATGTGCCTGCTGCTCTTCGACGGTGTGGCAAGGCTCCGTCTGCGGTGAGGCCCAACTCCCGCCGTCTGTCTCCCGCCGTCTGTCTCCCGCCGTCTGTCTCCCGCCGTCTGTCTCCCGCCGTCTGTCTCCCGCCGTCTGTCTCCCGCCGTCTGTCTCCCGCCGTCTGTCTCCCGCCGTCTGTCTCCCGCCGTCTGTCTCCCGCCGTCTGTCTCCCGCCGTCTGTCTCCCGCCGTCTGTCTCCCGCCGTCTGTCTCTCGCTCTCTCTCTCTCCCCCCAGACCAGGAAAGTCAGGATTTGATCATTGTTTGGGCCAAGTCAGGAAATGTCAAGGGATTTTCTTTGCAGCACGTATTATTTGCAGTATTTCTTTAACAGGTTATTTCACAAGTTTCTTGTATTTCTTCGACGGGCCACAAAATCATCTCACTCAGGCCGCCACCTCCTCCTTCTCCTGCCCTCTGGAAGCGTCACAGATCTATTAACCCGCGCTCTCCCAGGCACTATAAAAGAAGTGTTAAATAACTGTTCATTGCATCTAAGTGTTAAGTGTCCCCCTCCGAATCTCATGCCTTTCACTGTCACCCAGGGCATCAATGTGCAATATCCCAGGGACTCATTGCTATTATTGTAAATAGAACCACCCCAGTGCTATTTATATACTCCCACCTTGTATATACATTTGCACACAGACACACTCAAAGTTTATTGACCCATATTACTTGTGTTCTTACTTTGTGTGGGTGTGTACCTTAATATGCAGAGCTATGCCAGTGTTGTGTTGAATATATTTCAGGGGGCACAACTAATTTCATTGTACATCCATGCAATGACAATAAAAGGCATTCTATTTACACTGCATTCTATTTGCTTGAGTGGTTGTTATTGGATACTGGATTTTTTTCAGTGCCCCGCTCTTCAACAACTGGCAATCGCTTCAGTCAGGATGCAGTGTCCTGTGCCTGCTAGTGAAGAGGCAAACATACAGGACAATGTACATTTCAAGAGCTTTGGCTATAATATGGTGACGTCAAACACTGGGTGTTAAGAGTAGATGATGGAAAAGCTAAATGCACAGTTTGTAAAACTATTGACCTATGAAATGTGGAAGAGGGTGCTGTTCACAGCTATGCAGATGGTAATTGATGGGTTTAAAATACTGTGCCTGGTTTTTCTGTGCTCAGCACAAAGGCAAACTGTTTTTCCGTTCATTATAGGTCATGTAAATTCAGCTTTTTATTCAGTGAAAGTCAGGGAATTTGACATTTGATTTACAGTGAGAACCCTTGTCTCTCCTGTCGCTCCATCTCTCCCTCTCTTCCTACCCTCCCTCCCTCTTACTCTTTTTCTGTCTTTCTTTCTCCGTCATCTTTTCTGTGTTTCATTGCCTTGGTAAGTAACCATGGGACTTACCGTTCTCGATGTGTTTTTTTATCCCAGGACTGACGAATGCAGTTCTCCCATCAAGTCTCCTTTCTCGCTTCCCGTGTCCGTGATTAGGAGGTAATTGTCACGCCAGACTTGGGGTTGGGATCGAGCCGTAGCTCAAAGTCAGCACCCATCCGACGGCTTCTCCGTCTTTGTCTAGGTACAGCCTTCCGTTCCAGGCGGCCGTACACCACGCGGTGAGCCCCCACTGCGTTGTGGTGCCCCCGCACTCAGACCTCCTGGCCTTGCGTCCTGCCTGGGAGATGCTGCAGTTCACCTGGAATCGGGCCTGGTATTTGTCAGAGCAGCGCCTCCTGGAGGCCGCGGAGGATCACAACAGCGATGTACCAGAGTGAGGCTCTGCTTTCAGACGGCGTGATGAGTACATGACTGTCCCTGATTGGAATGCACATCTGCAGAGGCTTGACGGGGTCTCTGATGCCCACAGGTTCCTGGACGCCCTGAAGCTCTCCGCCTCACAGGCACTGGTGCTCAGCGTGAGCCGCAGCCCCAGCGGGCTGCATGACTGCCTGAGCCGCATACGGCGTGCCGTCTCGCATGCTGCAGTCTCCGTGGCCCTGGCCCACGCGCGCTGCTACCTGCTGGCCGACGCTCTGGCCCTCGAACCCGGCACTTGCGGCAGTCGGGCTGCGCTGAGCTCCCTAGACTTCCACAGCGCGCTCCAGAGGTGCGTGTCGGTCTCGGGGCTGCGCGGGTGTCCAGCGACAGGGTTTGAAAGGTGTGTGTGTCTCCCAACAGGTTCCTGCAGGTTCTTCCAGCGAGTTCGGATGACGAGAGACTCCTCGCGGACGTGGCCCACTTCCTCCGTGTGGTTTTCACGCCCCAGGGTCAAGGCCCTGATGATAAGGCCCTTTTGTGGCTTCTCGAGCTGCTCGGCACCCCGGTACCCACTCGGCCCAAATCTAGAGCTTTCTTTCGGGCACTGCATTGTTCCCTCCTAATTCAGTGTTATCCCCCTTCATAACATGAGCAGTATCTTTGTTTCAGACACCAGTTATAAATCACAGTGTCACACCAAACAAATGCATTAATGTCGTATTAAATGGCAGCTGGCAGCCACTCTGCCGCTCCCCCTAGCCTTATTTACAGAGATCAGCATGGCGGTTAACCACCCCCCCCCCCCCCCCCCGACATTACTGGAGCCATTCATCTTTTAGCAATAAAAGGGATAAGAACATTCTAGGGAAGCCTGAAATATGCCAACTGGGATCTCCATTGTGTTTGAATGTTGTCTCCCCCCACCCCACAAGGAGACCGGCGCCTTGCTCTCCCTACTGGCCGGGGCGGAGACCCCAGGAGGGGACACCTCGCAGCTGCAGGTCAATGAGAGGCTCCAGAAGGAGCTGACGGCCTTATTCTGCACGGTGCTGCACTGCCTGGGGCAGACCTCGGACAGGTACAGTGGCCGTATCAGTGTTCCAGTTAAATGGCATTTTACAATCAAATTTTGCCAGTGTCTGTATGTTCAGCAATTATACCCCCCATTCACTTTATAGCAACCTGTCCCCTTAAAAACTGCAGCACCCATAAAATGCTGCGTCCCGTATTGATCCATGAAAAAACACAATTTGTTTTCACGCACATTTTCCACCCCCTTGCTCAGCAAAATATATTGTGGGGAACCCCCCCATCATCAGCTTGGCAGATTTTATTGTCTGATAACCAGCATTATGGGCCTTCACGTCTGCACACTCTATTCACATCTCAAAGAAAATAGAGGCACTTAAATTTAATGTAGAGCTGCGACCATTGGTCTGAAACAACTGTTGACCATACATTCTTCTGTGGTTCTGTGTGTGTGTGTGTGGGGGGGGTGTTAGATAACTCGGTATTATTGTATATCCCAATATTCATCCATCTGTGTTCAGGGTCATGGGGGGTCTGGAGCCTATTCAGGAGGCTATAGGCACAAGGCAGAGAACAACCCAGGATGGGGCGCCAACCCAATGCAGGACACACTCACACACACACACCAGTGACTGTGTGGACTGTGGGGGGGGGGGAAACCAGAGTACCTAGAGGAAACCCCACGATGACACGGGGAGAACATGCAAACTACACACACATGGAACCCTGGCAGGGACTCGAACCCTGGTTCCTGAGGTGTGAGGTGTCAGTGCTAACCACTGCACCACCATGCCGGCCCTTATATATTTTTTTTATATATATTTTTTAGGTATTGCCCTGCTGTTCCTCCGCATTACAGCAAGCTGTATAATTAACTTTATTCGTAATATTCTCTTTTGTCTTGTATTCTCTTTAGAATGTAACTATAAATCTGTAAAGACATCAAAACTATAAAATAACATTGAATTATGCACTGACCAGTAAAGTATTAAAGAAATAAAAATTCTATGTTGGGGTGGGGGCAGCTATCTGGGTTGGGACTCAGAATGTTGCTGGTTCACATCCCTGCACCCCCTGGTGATCCCACCATTGGGCCCTTGAACAAGGCCCTTAACCCCAGCTGCTCCAGGGACTGGCTGACCCTACTGTCTCCCCTATGCCAGTGCCATGAGGAGGCCTCCTGGGATGCTTTTACAGCTCTCCTGAAGGAGGTCCCACATATATGCTGAGCTCATTGGCTGTTTTTCCTTCACTCTGGTCATTCACCTCCAAAGCCATTTCTTCTGGGAATAGGTCAGGTGACCGGGTCATGTGATTCAGGTCACTATATTACTCTCCTTTGTAGGCAGTGTGGGATGTCCAAAGTTATACAATTCATGGTTCTGACGCCCCCTATCCACAGGGCTTGTCGGGCTCTGGGGGGCGCCGTGCAGACACAGCTGGCCACGCGGCTGCTTCGGTGCCTGCGGGTTTCGGACGCTCCTCACTTCTACGGCCTGCCCTCTCTGGAGAGGACGTTGAGGGCCATGGTGTGTCTCAGCGCCCTGCCTGGCTGGAGCACCCATGGGGGTGGCCTGGAGTCACGCAGCCTCTGTCTCAAGTATCTGAGCGGCCTCCTGGAGGTGCGGATGAACCCGGGTGCGAGTGGCCAATCAGAGCCTCTCCGTGCTGTAGAGTCACTCCATGCCGTGGGCCGTGGGAGTATGTGATACTGAATACTTACCAGCTCTCTAAGTCACTGTAAAGGCCCTCCATGGTGGGCACATCTGCAGGCACATGCTTGGTGGTGTCCCCCCCCCCCCCCCCCGCTTTCTCATATAGCTAGTCCAGCTAACTAGCATAAAAATATTGAAGCTTTTTAGCATGTACTTTTGTGTGTGTGTTATTCCGACAGCTAATTAATGACCTAACATGTGTGTCCACCTGCCTCTCTTTTCTAAGATCATTTCTTCATTCTATGTGGAATGGGGAGGGAATTCGATGTCCTTCATGGGAAAAGGTGTCACTAAGAACACAGTCCTGTGTCTGCTGCATTTGTCCCATGAGATGATGGCTGAGGCCACGAATGCGGTCAGTATGTCTGTCTGACTGAGATTATTATATATGATAATACACCCTCTCCTCGTTTCCAAGTTCCTGTTCATTAAGCAAAATGATCGTTAAGTACAGATCACAGTAGCCTAGGCGTGACCGCGACTTCGCTTCATGCTGTGAAGATCATTGCCTGTTGTGTCTCATTTAGATTAAGTTATCATAGAGTGTTACTCTCACTCCAGGTGAACAAAAGTTGGTCTTAAATGCACTCATTGGTCAGAAATAATTATTTTTATTATTTATTATTAAATAATTTGTATTTCTGAATGGTCCCTAACAGAGATAGTTGCAAAACAAGTAGAGGGGGTGATTAATCACTTTAGTAAGAGAGCAGGACCTTTAAACCCCACTGTTATTAAAAGGGGCAGGGTCAATAAATGCCCTCCTACCAATGGGGGTGGGGTCAATAAATGCCCTCCTACCAATGGGGGCGGGGTCATTAAATGCCATCCTACCAAAGGGGGCGGGGTCATTAAATGCCCTCCTACCAAAGGGGGCGGGGTCATTAAATGCCCTCCTACCAATGGGGGCGGGGTCAATAAATGCCCTCCTACCAAAGGGGGCGGGGTCATTAAATGCCCTCTTCTTGCAGGAGTGGCTGCCACTCTGGTCGCTGACGCACGAGCTTCCTGAGGAGCAGAGTGCACAAGGCCTGGGCCTGGCCTGGCTCGTGCCTCTCTGGGTGGACAGGGACCCGGAGGTGAGGCCCCACCTCCACCTAATAGACGCATTTTGATGGAACCAAGACTTTAATCAATGAGTGTGTTTGAGCAGTACCGTATTTGTGCAAATATTTTGTATTGTTATCACTGTTCTTACGAGATTCCCATGCAAGATTCTAATAAAAAATACAAAATCATAAGATGAAGTGCCTGAGTGTATGCACTGAGGTCTCGGTTTCTGCGTACACTCCCATGTACACTCCCGCGTACACTCCCGGCCCTATCGCTGTCCACAGGTGAGATTCGCCAGCCTCAGCATCAGCTCGGCGCTGACATCCCTAAAGCAGGGCTGCATAGCCCTCGCTGCCAGCTGCCAGAACATCTCAGGGGGGCTGTGGGCCACACTGCTGAATATGCTGCTGGACCAGCAGGAGTGCAGCATGGTCCGCAGGGAGGTGGGTCCACCTCCACATCACACTCGCTCTGTGTGCTCCTCTAGGAGAAGCACAGAGGCCTTTGGTTTTTGCTTCTTTTGACAAGGTACCATGATGCAGTATGTGTCAATTACCAACAGATGGCAGTATTGCATTGTTGGTCTTATTTGGTATTGTCATTCATTTTTAGGTTGTTCTTATTACTGGGATCCCATCCAGGGTGTTCCTTGTGCCCCATGTTGCCTGGAATGGGTTTAGGGTTAGGGTTAGGCTAAGGGCATTGACAAGGTTAAGTGGTTATAAGACAGACAGATGGATGTTTAGACCTTGTTTTCATTAACAATTATATTCCCTTTCCAGGCCGCTTTTATTCTGCAGAACTTGCTTGTGATGCCCATGCCCGCCAGGATGGATGAAGCAGAGGATTTTTCTTGGCCGGTAGGTGATGTTTCCGGCATATTCCTTCCGAGCATATGTGGTGGGGGTGGGGAATATTGGTTTTGACACTTGCTTCATTTCTGCCTTATCTCAGAGCCCCATCTGTGCTTTGCATTTTTCACCTTTGTTTTCCCATCCGCTCTCTTTCTTGTGTGATGCTTTTATCTGCTTACACCTTCACTTGTGGGGGAGTCAAATGTCAGCAACTGTACTGCGCTGCCAGCTTAGCCAATCGGCCGCACCATTAAGTGTCACCTGACTTCCACTTCTCACCCTATAGGGTCCGTGTGTCCACGACGACGTGTCCGGCCTGTCACTAGCGGGCCTCCCAGCCCTGCGGGCGCTCCTATATCACTGCCACTTCTTCGAGCATGTGAGCCAAGCAGTGCGCTGCTGCTTCATGGGCCGGTTCTCTTTCGAGCTGGACTTCCCCGCTTACCCAGAGGGCGGCGTTGACGGTAAACCCCCCCCCACAGACGTGCAGAGCCACACGGCAGATGTGGTGTTTTTCAGTTATAAAATGGATACTTCTCTTGTGTAGGAATGCGTAGCTTCATCTATTTTGCTGAAGCAGTTCAGCTTGATTTAATGCACCCTCCCCAACTGGACGAGCAGCCCCGTCTACTACTCCTTCGAGATTTACCCCAGTGCCTTGTTAGAACTGGGCCCAGCATGATGTGTGGCTCGTGACCTGTGTTCTGATGATTTGCCACCAGGCGGCGATAACTCGCTGATGAGCTGGAGAGATCCTTCTGCGGCGTTAGATCGCAGCAGCATGTCCAGCTCGCGCTCCACTTCCAGCACCCTGGTGAGTCATCACAATGGACGGGGAGCAGCATGGAACTTTCCGGAGATCGGATCAGTGCGCTGCACGCAGTTACCGAATCCATACACTCTGTTATGAATGTTATGTGTCACTTGATCATAAACCATTCCTTTATGCAAAGTGATCATTCTTTAGTTGTTTTCTTGCAGCGCAATTGAATAGTGAGTAGAGAATAATTAGCTGTACCCTTTTTCAGTGTGTCATGGTGTGTCAATCAGTTCAGTAGTGTTGGCCAGCCTACCATCAGGAAATTATGCTGTAGTGAAACTCAGAAGTGTTAAAGGTTCCCCTTTTCATAATCAAGGATCCGGATGGTGGACTTCAGTCGGTTCTCTGAAGGTTTACGTTTTGCTCTAATCAGGCAGAAATCATCCAGTGAGTAATTATATGGGCTAAAGGCTGATTAGTACTACTATACAGAGTCTACATTGTAGATAGCCTCTTAGCCACATACCCTAAGCCACGACCTGATGCGCACCACCCCAGAACTGTCACTGCAGGCTTCCGGCTGTGGCCTAGGGTACGCAGATGTATAAGTCGGCCTTAAGCGTAGTGATTGTGATCTCTGTCAAGGCGGTGCTCCTGCTTCTGAACGTTGTCCTGCGGACTGCACCTTCCGTGTCCCGTCGGGTTGCCAGAACATTCTGATAGCTTTGTCCTGCATCCCCTGGCCGCTCTGCCTGATCTATGGGCCCTTTCGTCCTCCTTCAGATTGGCCGCGAGGCGCTGTCGTCCTCCCCGCCGTCACCAAAAGCGACTCCGGAGGCGGACGCCAGCAGACTCCTGGCTCAAGGTAAAGGTCCTGAGCTGGCTGGAGAACCTCCTGTAGGAGGTGCACTGCTCCCTTTCAGCACAGACCTCACGCCTCTGTCACCCCCCCAGGCGAGAGCGATGCGGACCCAAGCGACAACGGCGTCTCCCAGGATTCCCGGCATGCAGAGCCGGCTGTCTCGCGTGCCATCGTCACCCCCCAGCTGGTGTCCGCGCTCTGCGGCCTGCTTGCCAACCTGGCGTCCATTCAGCCAGAGTTCACCATGAGCGCACTGCGGCAGCACTGCATCCTTCCCTCCCTCGCCAGGTACTCGCCGTGGTGTCTTTGGCTTCCTATCAGTTCATCATAATCTAAAGAAGATCGTGCGGCGCATGGGCCTCACGCAGCCCCCTTCGGGCCCCTCTGCACCCTGTGACCCGGGTCTACTCTCAGCTTGGTAGATTCTGGAACAATCGAGCGGTGTCTTTGTGACCTGAGGATGTCGGGGCTTCCTGGTGGTGACGCAGATGCCATGAGCCAGGTGTGTTCGTGGCAGCAACTGCGGGGGGGGGCGCCATCCACCTCTCATCCACCGCTCGCCATTTCCGATCCCTATCAGCCTTGCCTCGATGTGGCCATATAACGCTATTGCTCTTGTTTACCTGTCAAAAATGTGGTTTTTCATAAGAAGCATGTGGTTCACTCAATTGCCTCCCCACTGCACCGGAAGTATCCCCCCCACCCACCCCCCCACTCATTCTGTGTTTACACTCTCCCTCTGTTCGGATGCTGCTGTTTCCTGCAGTGTTCGCTTAATTTTTACTAAACAGGCTTTGTTAATTACCTACAAGCATTCAATTACGTGCTGCTTAAATAAGCCACTGTTGTCAGTCTCTTTAATAATCAATGAACATGCCCCCAACTGCTGATTAGGCCCAGAGTCTCCTGCAGTTCCTCTCCAGCTTTGCAGGTCTCCTGCAGACCTGCATCACGCTGAGCACAGAGCTGCTCTCTCAGATGGAGGCCGAGATGCCCGCCCTGCTCGTCGGCATCTTCACCGCACTCACCGCCAACCTCCAACACCTCGGTATGATACAGGCTGGCGTGTGTCATTAAACAGGCGTGCCAAGTAAACATGGCTGGTTTGGCACAGCCTGAGTGGCATTTTAATGCTGAGCACGTCTCATCTGATCTCATCTCAACAATAATAACAATAATGGTCTGTCTTGATTGTATCAAAAATGACCACAGAAATACCTCATTAATACCAATCTGTCTGTAGATTAAGAAATGAAATGTTAAGTTAATCCCTCTACAGACACCTGTATTTATTCATCTCCTGATGTCACTGTTATTCTCATGTTTGTCATCTTCCTGCCCTGCAGACTCCCCGTCTCGGGACACCGCACACCACACCTGGGCCACCTTGTTTACGCTCCTGGCGACGGCGCTGAGGCAGGACGCCCCCGCTGTGTTTCCATCTGTCTCCGCAGTGATGGCCCGGTGCTGGCAGCCATTGGCGGGTACGCCCTGGAATCCGTCTTATTATCCTCCTCCGCTTCCAATCCTGCTCTCCTGCTCATCTGATAAGCGTCATTAAAATCTCAGCTGCGGGTGCAGTTGCCATTTATGCCATCGACACTGAATTTCCCTCAGCCATAGCCATCTGGGTAGCCTTCCAGGGGATCGCCTGGTCACCTTCAATGCCAGTCACCTGGTTGCTGGTCACCTGGTCACCTTCAATACCAGTTGCCTGGACACCTTCCATGCTGGTCACCTGATCGCTGGTCACCTACTTACCTCCAGTGCCAGTCGCCTGGTCACCGTCCATGTCAGTCGCCTGGGTACCTGGTCTCCTTTCATGCCGGTTACCTGGTCTCCTTTCATGCCTGGTTACCTGGTCTCCTTTCACGCTGGTTACCTGGTCTCCTTTCATGCCGGTTACCTGGTCTCCTTTCACGCCTGGGTACCTGGTCTCCTTTCACGCTGGTTGCCTGGTTGTGTATTGTGCTGCTCGCCTGGTCGCCTGATCACCTTCCTTGCCAGTCACCTAATTTCTGACTGCCTGGTCACTTTCTGTGCCAGTTGTCTGGTCACCTGCTTGATGGGGGATCCGCTGCTGTCACCCTTCCCCCCAGGTACTGTTTCGCTCTGCGTCCAGCTCTCCCCCTCGGATCCTGCGCTCTTCTCGGCAGCCATGAGCTTTCTGTGTGCCGTCCTGACTGAGCAGAGCAGGAGGCGTGCACGCGGCGCTCCTGAAACGCCCCTGTCCGTCCCACTCAGTGGCCGCCCCGGGGGCCAGCTCTGCGAGCTGCTGCTGCAGGTGGGCACGACTGCCTTGGCACCTTCAGGTGTGACATGAAGGCTTTAAAACAGGCACGTCCCCACCGGGACATTTATTTTTCATTTCTCTTCGCTTATGGCAGTGTTTCGAGAAACAACCGCTCCAGGACCCCCTGAAGAAGGTAACATCCAGAGCGTTCCTGTCGCTCCTGGCCTGCAGCCCCAGCGCACAGAGCTACGCATGCAGAGGTGCGTGTCTGTCGAGCTGCGTACGGTGTGTGCCACTGTCCTGACGCTGACTGTCACGCCTGCGCTCATCAGCCGGCCTGGTGGACACACTCATCGAGAGGCTGAGGAACATCCATCTGCAGCTGCAGCAGGAATCGCTGAACCCTGGGAAGGCGGCACAGAAGAAGAAGGTAGGCAACATGAACGTTACACCATCCACAGAAGATTAGTATGAAATAATCCAGGAAGGAGGGGGGGAGGAGGTGGTTAAAAATGTACGTGCATCTTGGCCTGTACAGGAAGAGAGTTGCTTGAGAGAGTTGAAGCTGGTCTTGCAGCTGCTGCGGAACTGCCTGTACCGTAATGAGGAGTGTAAGGTAGGTGCAGTCAATGGTCAGGCTCGTGGTTTCGTGGTTTCCGCTCGCCCCTTTCCCTAGATTGAGTGGCATATCTTGCCTCTGCAGGCCTCTGCCTGTGACTCGCGCCTGGCCTTCGCTGTCGCCCCCCTCTGGCCTTGGTTGCTGCTAGACGACCGCCTGATGGAGGCTGCCCTGGAACTGCTCTGCGTCTTCACGGCCAGCTGCGGCCCAGGTTTGTTACGCAAAACTACCACCTCGGCTCTCTGCACCCTCACTGATCATGCAGGTCGTAACATTCAACACTCAGGCGGGGGTTTGTTCATACATGTGGCCCATTATAGTCAGGTTTAACCCACCAGCCCCCCTTATCGATCCATACTGTAGGTTCGGTCTCAGAATAGTGACTCCTACTGAATCAGGGGCTGTCAATCTCTTAGTATTTACATGGGCAGCAGCCACATCCTGATAAGGTAGCAATAATAATCGGTAATAATTATATTTGTATAGCACTGTTTTAGTTTGTAGTGAGATTACCTATATTCCTTAAAACATTTACCCTATTTGTCTGTTATCTTCATTTAACTTCAAGAAGATTCTATCCATACACTGGAAAAGGGAACCAATCTGCTTGTTTATGGTACGGCGATCTTATGTTACATAAATACACTGCTTGAAAAAATTAGAGGAACACTTTGAATACACATCAGATCTCAATGGGGAAAAAAATCACGCGGGTTATCTATACTGATATGGACTGGGTAATGTGTTAGGAACGAAAGGATTACACATCATTTTATGGAAATAAAATTATCAACCTACAGAGGGCTGAATTCAAAGACACCCCGAAAATCAAAGTGAAAAAAAGATGCGGCGATCCATTTTGCAGAAATTTCATTGCAGCAACTCAAAATCCTACTCAGTAGTTTGTATCGCCCCCATGTGCTTGTATGCATGCCTGACAACGTCGGGGTATGCTCCTAATGAGATGACGTATGGTGTCCTGGGGGCTCTCCTCCCAGATCACGACCAGGGCATCACTGAGCTCCTGGACAGTCTGATGTCCAACCTGGCAGCGTTGGACGGACTGAAACATAATGTCCCAGAGGTGTTCTATTGGACTTAGGTCAGGCGAGCGTGGGGGCCAGTCAACGGTATCCATTCCTTCATCCTCCACGTGCTGCCTGCATACTCTCGCCACATGAGGCTGGGCATTGTCATGTACCTGGAGGAACCCAGCACCCACTGCACCGGCATAGGGTCTGACAATGAATCCAAGGATTTCATCCCGATACCTAATGGCAGTCAAGGTGCCATTTTCTAGCCTGTAGAGGTCTGTGTGTCCCTCCATGGATATGCCACCCCAGACCATCACTGACCCACCACCAAACCGGTCATGCTGAACAATGTTACAGGCAGCATAACGTTCTCCACAGCTTCTCCAAACCCTGGAGGGGGCAGCATGTGGCTCAGTGGGCTAAGCCTGTGTGCCTGTGATCGGAAGGTTGCCGGCTCAAGCCTGGCCTCAGCACGTCTGCGGGTCCTTGAACAAGACCCTTAACCCCCAGCTCCCTGGGTACCGCAAAGGGTGGCTGCCCTTCACAGCCAGCTTACTCTTACCTACAAAGAGCAAGATGGAGGAGGCGTAAAGAGTTTCCCCAACAGGAATGATAATACTATTATTTCACATTATTGCTCAGGGTGAACCTGCTCTCATCTGTGAAAAGCACAGGGCACCAGTGGTGGACCTGCCAATTCTGGTATTCTTTAGCAAATGCCAGTCAAGCTCCACGGTGCCAGGCAGTGAGCACAGGGCCCACTAGAGGACGTTGGGCCCTCAGGCCACCCTCATGGAGTATGTTTCTGATTATTTGGTAAGAGACATTCACACCAGTGGCCTGCTGGAGGTAATTTTGTAGGGCTCTGGCAGTGCTCATCCTGTTCCTCCTTGCACAAAGGAGCAGATACCGGTCCTGCTGATGGGTTAAGGGCCCTATCCAGCTCTCCTAGAGTAACTGCCTATCTCCTTGAATCTCCTTCATGCCATTGAGACTGTGCTGGGAGACGCAGCAAACCTTCTGGCAATGGCACGTATTGATGCGCAATCCAGGAGGAGTTGGACTACCTGTGCAACCTCTGTAGGGTCCAGGTATCTCCTCATGCTACCAGTAGTGACACTGACTGTAGCCAAATGCAAAACTAGACAAAAAAACAGTCAGAAAAGATGAAATGGGAAAAATGTCAGTGGCCTCCACCTGTTAAACCATTCCTGTTTTGGGGGTTGTTGTTGCCCCTCTAGTGCACCTGTTGTTAATTCCATTAACACCAAAAAAGCTGAAACTGATTAACAACCCCCTCTGCTACTTAACTGACCAGATCTATATCCTAGAAATTTAATTGACTTAATTCTATACTCTGATTAAAAAGTGTTGCTTTAATTTTTTTGAGCAGCGATCTCTGTATGTCTACATTTGCCAACAGGTAGTTTGACTCACTCTTCCCGAGAAAACTGCTCAAACTATCTTAGGTTTGAAGGGTGGCTTATCCACGCTGCAATCTTCAGATCTTTCCATAGATATTCCATAGGACTAAGATCTGGGGCTCATGTGGAGCCAATTAAGAATAGTCAACTATTTTTTTTTCTCTGGTATGTTTTGGGTCATTATCCTGTTGGAGGACCCATGACCTGCGACTGAGGCTGAGCTTTCTGACACTGGGCAGTATGTTTCACTCCAGGATGCCTTGGTAGTCTTGAGTCTTCATTGTGTTCTGCACAGATTCAAGGTTCCCCGTGTCAGATGCAGCAAAGCAGCCCCAAAACAAACCTGAGCCCCCTCCATGTTTCACAGTAGGTATGGTGTTCATTTCTTTTAAAGCTTCATTTTTCCACCTGTAAACATAGAGCGGATGTGACTGGCCAAAAAGCTCCTGTTTTATTTCATCAGTGCAAAGGACATTCTCCTTCTTGTCAACATGCATTTTAGCAAATTCCACTCTGGCTTTTTTATGTTTTTCTGTCAGTAGTGGAGCCTCCTGGGTCTTCTTCCATGGAGCCCATTATTGTTCAAAATGCGACGGATGGTGCAATCAGAAAGTGACGTACCTTGACCTTGGAGCTCAGCTTGAATGGTTTTGGATGGTTTCCTTGGCACTTTTTCTACCATCCGCACTATCCTTATGATCATCCTGGAGTTACATTTCCTCTTGCATCCACGTCCTAGGAGGTTGGCTACAGTCCCATGAACCTTTGGCAAATATTGGCAACTGTGGTCACAGGAACATGAAGCTGCTTGGAGATGGTCGTATAGCCTTTACCTTTAACATGGTTATCTATAATCCTCTTCCTGAGCTCCTCAGACAGCTCTATCCTTTGCTTTCTCTGGTCCATGTTCAGTGTGGTGCACACAGTGATACCAAACAATACAGCAACATGTTCTTTCCCTTTAAATAGGCTGAATGGCTGATGAAAAGCTTGAAGGCACCTCTGATACTAATTAAGGTTAAACACTTAGTTTGAAACATGACTATAATGCAAGGATAAATAACCAACAAATCTGTCTATATTATTTTAGCATATCTTTGAAAATTAAAAACAAATGTTTTTTTCACAATTTTATTAGTTTACTCTATCATGTGCTAAAGGTATGCAGGTGTACATTAGACAATTGCTTTTAATTTAATTACTTTTCAGGAGAAATGAAGCATTGTTTCAATGAGCTCTAAATTTACCAACAAATTTATCCACATCTGTATATATTGTAGGTGCGTGTCATCATTGTAGGTACGCAAGTTGAATTCATGTTCAGTAGTAATTCTTCCCAGTGGTAGCATATAAAGTACAGAGAAAATAACAAGGGATCCAAAACTGAACCCTGTGGTACGCCATAAGGAATGTCATGGCTTTTTGAGACATGATTCCCCCTAAGCTACAACATATTTTCTTCCAGGTAAATGTATATCTAACCAGCATAGAAGAGGTCCTGAAACATAAACCCATTCTCTAAGATGACTCAGAAGTGTAGTGTGATCGACTGTGTCAAATGCAGCACTTAAATCAAGAGGCATTCATGTCAGTAATTAGTCTCAGATCATTCACTACTGTGGTTTCAGTGCTATGGCCTTGTATAAAACCAGACTGAACATTTTATGGATGTTTTCTTTGAGAAATTCAGTTAACTGTTAAACTACTTTTTCCATTACTTTGCACTGAAAAGGCAAGTTAGAAATGGGTCTAACTTTAATCAGTATTGTGGTATCTACATAATGTTTACTAGGCTGGGCATTTAAGCTGCTGTTTTACATGCCTCTGGAAAAAGACCTGTTTCTAATGAGTGATGTATGATGTTGAGTATGGTTGGCATGCTGCTGTGAACATCTCTTTGAAAAGTGATGGGGGAACCATGCATGCAAGTGCAGGCTGATGCATACAATATCCAGCCAGTTATAGGAGAAGGGTTTAAAAGGTGATTTACAGTGTTCTAGGGTTATTGCTATTATTGATCATTTTTGAGAAGTACTGTTATCTTTCTGTAGGTAGTCGTGTTATGCTCATTAATGTATCTCTTTACAGTAGGTCTAGATGAACTGTCAGTTTACTATTTCTCCATTCTTTTTTAAGACATTCTACGTGAATATTCTTCCATGGTAATGTTTTTATGCTAGATATTTTCCTGACTACTTCAGGTGGGACATCCTGCCGGTAAGAACCATGCTGTAGAACCATTCTTCATCACAAAAGGAGCCTGACATCACTCTTATACATGGTTGTCCTCCTCCGATGACGCCATTGAGTGCTATTTGTGAACTGGAGGATGAATAGGTCACTGTGCTTGTTGGATGACGTGACAGGCTGCTGTTGGCCGCTCTCTTGAGATGTCCTGCCTAGCTTTCAGCGTTCTCACACATTTTTCCATCCTTGAGTGACTTTCAACCATCTGCAATCCTCTCACCTACCTGGGCTCAGGTCAGCCTCTGTGATCCTCAGGATTCATGAGAAAGATGCTTTTCAGTCTCGAACATTCTCTTCCATATGGAGCGTGTTATGTCTGTTGAAAACATTTTTTTAAATGGTTCCCCTTTGAAAGTATTTTACTCTAAACTGGAGATCCTTTGAATATTTATTGTGCCGTTGTGTGAGGAAAGCACAAACAGGAAGGCACAAATGGGAAGATATTAATGGGAAAACACAAACAGAGAAGCACAATCTATAACAGGGTTATTCAAATCACGGTCCTCGAGGTCTGAGCACTGCTGGTTTTCCAGCCTTCTTTTACCTGTGAGCCAGATGTGAAGCCTCTGACCAATCAGAATCAGTAATTATTAAACTAACTACCTGGGAGAACTGAAAACAAGGCCTGGATTTGGAATTGAGGGCCAGATTTGAAGAACCCTGATCTAGAAGGTATAAACAGAAAGGTACAAACGAGAAGCACAAATGGAAAAACAAAATCAGGAAGACACAATCAGGAAGGTTTAAACAGGTAGGTACAATCAGAAAGGTACAAGCAGGAAAGCCCAAATGGAAAAGTACAAAGAGGAAGACACCAGAAAGGCATAAACGCACATAGGTACAAATGGGTAACCACAACAAGGAATACATAAACAGGAAGGTTAAATCAGGATTGTATAAAAAGGTCACAGGTGACTTCATTCCATTTGTTTGTAATATATTTGGGTTTCACTATGAGGTGAGAAACTTAGAGAGCTGATATTTAATGAGTTGCTGGTGGGTGTCAGAAATAGACCCTGATGCTGTTTACTAGAGAAGCCTGAGATCACAGTTTGCTGCACATCTGAGTTTTTATGCACACTGAGGTTAGGCTTCCCCACTTAACACTATGCTTCAAGGAGGTCTTTACAGGAAATACATGCATCACGGAAACACATTTACCAGCACTGAGGGGGCGCGACTCAGTACTTGTCATTCTTTCCATTGTAGGGGCTCTTTATGTATTTATTCCCCCCAACTTTTTGATGACAGAGCTTTATCTAGCACTAGGTGTTTAATTATGGCTTGTATATTTATAGAAGCAGAGAAATGTCATTCTTTCAGATGAAAGAAAGCTTTGTGTATTTGCCCTTGATAATGGTAACATGGCCCCTCCCCGCAGCCTGCAGCTCGCTGTGCTGGAGTGGCCCAGGACACGCTCCCGTCCAGAGGACCCCCACCGGGGGCTCTGTGCTGCATAGTGTCATGAAGTTGGCCACGCTGCTGGCGCCTGAAAACAGCGGCCATCAGCGCCTGGCCTTCTGCCTGTTGGCCAATCTGGCAGCATCCCGCGACTGTAAGGGGCTCCTACAGAAGGTATCCAGCCAGCTGGGGTCGAGTGGCAAGAGTCTGCCGAGCTCTGGGTTATGAGCGGCCCTCACGGATGCTGGTTTGCCCTCTCCCTTCTTCTGTCCTGTCTTTCAGAGCAATTTCTTTCAGCATTTTCTGGCACTGTCTCTACTGAAGCCCAGCTCAAAGGCCCCCAGTCCTGCCCTGAGCCTCTGGCTGAAGGTGCTCCTGAGTTTGTCCTTCAGCGAAGATGGCCAGCAGATGATTCTGAAGATGGACGGCGCACTGGAGCTGATAGCGGAGCTGGCACTGCACAAGCGGGACAGCCACCGGCCGCTGACCCTCCTCATCCTGCATAATGTCAGCTTCTGCTCTGCCAACAAGGCCAAAGTCCTGGCCAGCGGTGGGTCTCTACTTGGGGCGTCACATGATGCTTGAGGCCACTGTAGAGCAGATCAGGAATGGACTGGTTTGGGACACGCTTGCCAAACTCTTATTTTTCTGCCTTTACAAACATTATGTTGTTTTGGAGGCCAGGATACTTCACATGTGATGGGTCATTGGCAGAATTGTCTGGATAAACACACAGCCCTGAAATGTGTGCTATATGATAGACATGGAGGACTGGCAGTGTTGATACCAATGCGTCGGTGACTTTTGCTTATGATTGGCATGGGGGACTGGCAGGGCTGATAGTAATGCATTAGTGACTTTTGTTTGCTTTCCCTTTTGACCTGAATCTATCTGCTTCCAGCTAAATCAGTCAGCGTTCTGGTGTCCTGCCTGGAGAGCAACCAGCTTCACATCTGTGCCATCGGAGCGTCGGCTCTTTGGTCACTGCTGCACAATTATCAGAAGGTAGCGCTCTCACGCCAAGATTACGCTCTGTTAGCTTCAGAAGAGGAATCGGGTCTGTCTGTGGCCCCATAGAAGGCACTGCAATCTGTCAGTTAATATTGCGGGTTTTCCAGTGGAATGGTGATCCTCTGTCACTCTCATTTTAAGTGTCTTTGTAGTGGCGTGGGGTGGTATTCAGCCTCCGTATACGGGCCCTGTAAACCCGTCAGGTCCCACTAGCGATCCAGTTTCCCCCCATGACACATCTGTGCCTCTTCAAGCCAGTGCTAAGCTTCTATCTTGGATGGATGGATGGATGGATGGATGGATACATAAATAAACACCAGTATCTGGGTGCTCACAGTGACGTTTGTTGCACATTCCTCTTGGTAATGACTCTATCGTGTATGATTCAGACTTACTGAAAACATACATTCACTGGAAAATCATCTGTCACCCGTCCAACAATGCAATGGATTGAGGAGATTTCAAATAAAGTTTGAATTAACTTTATCGAAGGCATAGATTTTAGTTTCATTATAATGGTAGATTAAATGCTGCCAGCATTTCATTTTCAAATATCCTTACACAGCTACTTTCATTCTTATACACGTTGGGCCACGTTCAGGTTCTGTTTGTCTCGGACGGTTTGGACCTGCATACTGACATGTGCTCTCACCCTTTTGCCAAAGGCTAAGGTGATTCTGAAGAATCCGTCTATCAGGATTAAGGCAGAAGAGGCGTTTACCTCGGCACAGGAAGGTCTGGGTTTATTCTGATATGCGACATGTTTGGGCATTCGGGTTCCACTGGCTAACTTCCTGTATTAAACACACTCTATTCCGCACTCTGTATCCACATTCCTACAAGTCCTCCTTTTTTTCTTTTACAGATGCAGAAAAAAACAGAGGTGAACCCCTTAACTCCTATCTACTGAAGTGCCTTGAAAACCTCACCCAGCTTTTAAATCATTAGCTGCCTCTCTGAATTCCTACAAACATTCCCGTTTATCCTGCTTCCCATCATTTTCAGTTGCACGGAAATCTTTTTACAGGTTTCTCAAATGTCTTTTTTTGTATTTATTTTTCTTACAATTTTATATGGTCATTTTGAGTGTGAAATCAAATTAAAGCGTATGGAATGTATTAGCCAAAATGAGGTGCCTGCCTGCTTTCTTACAACACCCAAAAGTTAGCGTGGTTAGACACTAATGTGTATCATTGTCTGCTGCCACGGCTGTCTTGCTGAAACGCCTCTCTGTAGCTCAAACAGGAAGTGCCTCTATACTCATCAATGCTGTATTCATTCTTGCTCAGAGAAGTAAGATGGATGCTTTGAAAAAGGATTACTGGTACTCCATGGTACATATCATCTTCCTCAGTTTACTTACAGGTAATGTTTCTTTTTCTTCATAATAATATTATAAACTCTTTTACCCTGAAAGCAATTTTGATTTGTTTTGCTATACCATTTTCTTTTTTTTTATACTAAGAGCTCTAGGAATACCTTTGAGCAAAATTTCTTACCCAGACTTTTTCCTGAAAAAAAGAATATGTTTTTACTTTAGGCTAACAAGTGGCTTCCTCATGGGGGGGCATTTCCTTGGTGGCTTTTTGTGTTTCTGGGCGCATGGGGTCATTGTTAAGTTTAGAACTTTGAAGACATTACCCATTACCTTTCGAATGTGTGTGTGTGAGGAGAGCAAACCTTTGTCTGAGCTTCAGTCCTTGTGCTTTGGTGGTGGTGTGTTCAGTTTGTTTATTTAAAGCTTCTTATTTTTAAGTGTTTTTTTTTTATTGCCTGACTTCAGCTTATTTTCACCCGCCATCTCTCACTTCATTAAACACCGTTTGTAGCAGGATGCCGTTATCAGCTGAGGCATCACACAGTGCAGGTGTATCCAGGTCATCACTGCAGCTCGATTGTGGCTCCCACTTAATCTCACTGTGTTCAGTCGCCCCAGGGGAGAGTGTGGCTGCTGCTGTGCTCTGATCGCTGGCTTGGGGCAGCCATAAGCTGAAGCTCTCGCCACATCACCACTCCTCTCTCTTCTTTTTATGATCGGGAATAATGCTGCTCATGTGAGCTTCATTTGACAAATTCAGTTTAGGTTATTGTTCATTTTCATATCATGGTGCTGCCTGTGGTTTGTATCTAAATTTCTCATAAGATTCCGCACAGAGAGTACATACCATCATTAAACTGGTTTACTCAGAGGTTCAGTCCATTTTTCCCTACTGACTGTGTAACTTTTTACATTAATCATCTTAAGAGTGTTTGTTTATCCAGTGCTGTGCTGTAGTAAGTAGGTCACTCTGTACAGTAATGTACGTGCTCCTCAGCTCACTGTAACCCTGCCACACACAGGGACCCCAAAAACCGATGCCAAATATCGGCAAATGCAAATGAGAATCGCAGCACATTAGCAGAGACCAGAACCAATTCAAAGAAGAACAGTTCGCATCTCCTGAGAGTCACACACTGAGGCTGTTTCACCATTGCAGATGCATTCGTGATGCTCAGAGCTTTAGGTTACAGCCTTCAGCCATCCTTCACGAGACTAGTGACTCATTTTAGGAAAGCCTTCATTTGCAAAGTCGACCTGAGAAAAAAGACTAAATAATAATATTTGAATATATCAGAATCTCACTTTAACGCCAGTATGTAGGAACATTATTGAATGAACAGAACTGTTTGTGGTTTGATGCCAGATATGAAGTACGTAACGATATTAAAAGACATACAGGAAAAACACTTCACAGAACACTGTAAAAATAGGAACACAAATAAAAGGAATACAAAAATTTACACAAGATAATTATTCAAAGGACAGTACAAGATGTCTTGACAATAGATGTAAGATCAGAACTAGTGCAAGTACCAAAAAACTGGTTATTAGTTGTAATGCAGGTTGAAATGATAATGCAGGTAAACCATGAGGGGAAGATGCACTTGACGTCATGATGTACTTGAATCTTCCCAGCTCTCCTCTACGCCCTGGCGGCGATCAGGTCTTTTAGTGTTGGCAGCCAACAGCCAATGATTTTCTCAGCTGAGTGGACCACACGTCGTTAACTGGTCTTGAAGTGGGAGGAGGCAGCAGGAAACCAGATGGTAATGGAGGGCGTCACTACACTCTCAATGATGGCAGAGTAGAAGTTCAGTAGGATGCGTTGGGAGATGTTGAGCTTCTTGAGATGGCGTGGGAAGAATAGCTTTTTCTGGGCTGTTTTTGGTGATGGAGGTAACTTGCATGTCCCACTTCATTATGTTGGTGATGTTGGTCCCCAGGAATTTGAATGACAACCATAGAAACGACTTGGCTGTTATTTTCCGGGGGAAGGCAGGCAGTGGGTTGGCGACAGAGTTGACTTTCATTTCCACTCTCTTGAACACAAGAGAGTGGGTTGTTGCTGGCACACCATGTGGCAAGATGGCCCCCTTCTTTGCGTTAGGAGGTCTCATCGTTATTGGAAATGAGTATGACTGGGCGATGTTTTATCATAATATTTTTCATATCAAATGATATTGATAATTGTCACAATATAATTCAATATTTATTTTCTTCAATGCTCCTTTTTTGCTTAAAATTCCCTTAAAATTGCTCATAAACAGAACATTAAAAAGGTGATAAATTGAATGAACTGCAAAGTGAAATAAGAACATAAGAAATTTACAAACGAGAGGGGGCCATTCGGCCCATCAAGCTCATTTGGGGAGAACTTAGCTAATAGCTCAGAGTTGTTAAAATCTTATCTAGCTCTGATTTAAAGGAACCCATGGTTTTAGCTTCCACTACAGTAGCAGGAAGACTATTCCATACTCTAACTACACGTTGTGTAAAGAAGTGCTTCCTCAAATTTGTTTTAAAATGTTCTCCCGCTAATTTCCACTTATGGCCATGAGTTCTACTATTTAAACTAATATTGAAATAGCCATTTGGTTGAACAGCATCCAGACCCATTAGAATCTTATAGACCTGGATCATGTCCCCCCTTAGTCTCCTTTGCTCAAGGCTAAACAGATTCAGCTCAGCTAACCTCTCCTCAAAAGACATTCCTCTAAGACTAGGAATCATTCTTGTAGCTCTCCGTTGCACCTTTTCTAAGGCAGCAATGTCCTAATGGTATGGTGACCAAACCTGCACACAATATTCTAGGTGGGGTCTTACCAAGGAATTATATAAATGTAACATCACCTCCCTTGACTTGAACTCCACATACCTAGAGATATAACCCAACATTCTATTGGCCTTTTTTATTGCTTCCCCACACTGGCGAGAGTGGGACATGGAAGCATCAACATACACACAGAGATCTTTCTCATAATCAGCTACCTTTATTTCAGTGGATCCCATAAAATATCTTTACTTGATATTTCTGCTCCCTGCATGGATTACCTTACATTTATCTGTGTTAAATTTCATCTGCCAAGTATCAGCCCAGTCACTAATTAAATCATGATCCCATTGTAGCCTCTGTGCTGCTAGATCAGTATCTGCTACACCACCCACCTTGGTGTCGTATGCAAATTTAACCAGTTTACTGTATGTATTGGTGTCAATATCATTAATGTAAATTAGGAACAATAGTGGTCCTAGAATTGAACCCTGCAGTACCCCACTATGAACGCAGGCCCACTGTGACATTGTGCCTCTAATAACTACTCACTGCTTCCTGTCAGTTAGCCAGTTTTTGATCCAAGCTGCCACAGTTCCTAAAATCCCTGCAGCTTTGAGCTTTAGCAGGAGCCGTTTGTGGGGGACAACATCAAAGGCCTTCTGGAAATCTAAGTAGATCACATCGCAGGCCTTTTTGTGATCAATTTCACTTGTGGCTTCCTCAAAGAATTCAAGTAGATTTGTTTAACAGGATCTACCTCTCCTAAATCCATGTTGGCTATCCCTCAGAATGTTATTTGCATCCAGGTAATCTACCATTTTCACTTGGATTATAGCTTCCATAATTTTTCCAGTAATGCTAGTTAAACTGATTGGCCTATAGTTTGCTGGATTACTTCTATCCCCTTTTTTGAATATGGGTGTTATATTAGCATGCTTCCAATCTGATGGTACCACACCCGCAGATAACGATTTCTGGAATATTAAAGTCAAAGGTTGGCTAATAATATCCCTCATCTCTTTTAAAACTATAGGTAAGATGCCATCAGGGCCCTGTGATCTATTTTTTTTTAGTTTAGCTAGGCTTAGTACCACATCAGCCTTAGTTAATACATATATTGGTCATAGACGACACTGTATTCGTACTAATTGGTGGTAAGATACTTGTGTTCTCTACTGTGAACACCCGTGAAAAATAATCATTAAACTCATTTACTATATCAATTTCATTATCAAATATAAGGCCCTTACTATCCTGCAAATTAGAGATTTCAGCTTTTTGAGCTCTTTTGGAGTTAAAGTAATGGAAGTAACTTTTATTATTCTTAGCCTCCAATGCAATTTTTCTTTCTACATCCCTTTTGGACAGTCTAATGTTATTTTTTAACTCTACTTGTAGACTTAGATACTTCTGCTTAATTTTGAAATCATTAGTTATTTTCTAATTGTGGAACAGAGCCCTTTTCCTCCTGACTTTATTTTTAATTTCCTTAGTAAACCACCTTGGTTGTCATTTCCTACATTTAGTTTTGCTGGAAACAGGTATAAAGTCCTCTTGCACTTGCAACAATGTGCTTTTAAAAAATTCCCATGCCTCTTCAACTGTTTTGCTATTTAACTGCGTCCAGTTTACAGTTTCTAGTTTTCGTCTCATACCATTAAAGTTAGCCTTCCTAACACTGTATACTTTTAATTTTGACTTTGCTCTTCTGACACTAAAATTAACCTCGAATTTAACCATGTTATGATCACTACCGTCCAATGGTTCTAAAACCTCTAATTTTCCAATCCTATCCTGGTTATTAGAGAAAACAAGATCAAGAAGGGCTTCTCCCCTGGTAGGGCTATTAAACTGAGTTAAAAAAAAAAAACAATTTATTAAATCTAATTTTAATAAAACATACACTAGGAAACGCAAACAGTACATTCTTTTGCTTGCTTTTTTTCTCTGACTGCCGCGCTGTTCGCTCCAAGGAACAGGTTTGACTAGGGCTGGGCGATATGCCCTAAAAATGATATCACAATATTTTCAGAG